TACGCCTACATGTGATTCATAATTAATATATATATATATATATATATATATATATATGTTATTATTATTGTATCGATAATAGTTTGCAGTGGTTCTCAACCCGCGAGTCGCGACGTACAATACGATCGCCAAGTATCTTTCAAGTAGTCATTTTTTAGTCAACTGACTTTTATCAATACTGATTTATTTTAACGTAATTATATCACAATGTACTACAGCAATAAATCGGTATCGATCTTTTTAATATTCCTTATCTTACGTAACAGATTGGAAGATTGCAAAATGTTACAAAAGAGGATTGCGATTCGAAAAATGATTAAAAAATCGCTGCACTAGACGAATTTTAATTCTCGATATTCGATCGATCTCGTCGAAAGGGATGGGAATTACTTCTTTAGGCATCGAAGAAAGGATAAAGTTTCGTTGGAAGATACAGATCGGTGAAGCGGAGCGGAGATGCGGGCAAGAATCTTCGTATTCTCACTCGCTGTGGATGGCCAAACGGATTGGAACACCCTCTCCTTTTCTCGCGGTCCGAAACAACGATCCGTATAAGGAGATGCGGCCTACCACCTCTCTCCTTCGTTCTCTGCCGATCTTTCCGTTTGTTGCTCGACCACGCTCGTTATTATTTTTTGCAAGTGAGAACGTTACGTATTTAATTCCTATTCGCTGTCCTATTTCGATGCACGTCGTTTAGCATGCATGGAGGTCTCTGCGTTCCTCGTACGCGCGAAATCGCACTTTCTCGCCCGCGGCAAGGCAGCCCTACCACGTTGTATCTGTGTAGTAAGTCGATTTAGCTTTGACCATCGAACATACCTTCATAACATAACTTTGCACTCGAAACAATGTGACATCTGACTCGAAGAAAAGCGCGAAAATTCCTAGCTTCTTAGATTCACGAATTGAAAGAATGGATGTCTCTCAGGATTTTAAATTATATCTTTTAATTTTTCTTCGATATTAAAAAAAAAAGGGAATCACGAATGATCGAAAACTCGATCTTTTTCCATTACGCGCGTAAAGAAGAGGAAGAGAGAAAGACCAGACGCAGCAGCAACAAACAGCAGCAGCCAAAAGACACGAAGAGGAGTGGTTGCTTGAATGCCCTCTTTGTCGAGATCGACGCGAGCCTTCTTCCTCCCGCGAAGAAAGAAGAAAAATTTTTCTTCCGTTGGGTAAACGGATTCTTCTACACGGCGGCTATCTATCGCGATAACCGCTCGTGCGCGACCTTTCAAAAAATTCACCCTTATCGGTCCTCCGCTTCTCCCCTCTCGATCGATAACTCGATCCGTCGCACGACAGATCTCACGTACACCGTATAAATCGTGTAAATCATCCTGGGTGTGCCGCATTCGATAATCCTGAACTTGGCAACTTGTAAAATATATATATATATATATATACACACGTTCGCGTAATCGAAAAGGAACCGATTGCGCGGCCAGACAGTGCGCCGCCGTTTTATCGATCCGACAACCTGTCGTAGACAGTTCGAGTTGCATTGTCGTCATCGCTTTTATATCTTTTCGGTTCGGTGTGATCGAAGCTCTGCACAAAGGAAGAGACGATCCTCTCGGTCGTTGCTCGCCTCATCGTGGAAACCAGAGGACCGTAAAAAGGTCGAGGCGATAGTGTGCCCCCGTGTTATCGGTGACGAACAGCAGAAGTTCTCGATTCTCTCTCTCTCTCTCTCGAGCCACCTGTTTTCACTCGATCGATTTTCATCCCAAGCGAAATTTGTGTTGGTCCTGGCTGGCAGTGAGTATTCGAATTTTTCGATGTGTTCATTACGAGGGAAATTCGAGTTTTATGAAATTGTTTGGGGGACTGTTTCGAGGGATAGTAAGTTCGATGATGTATTATTGATTTATTTTTTTTTTCTTTTGATTTCGTATTTTGATCGAAATTTTTGTATCCGTGGAACGACGAAATTTATTATTACGTAACGCTAGATGTTATATGTATCGAAGAATATAGATTTTGTATAGGAAAAATTTTATTTTACATAAACATTCGAAGTTATCGCCACATATCGATATCGAAATGATTTAGAATTGAAACCATCGTATCATCCGTATCACGTATCAAAACATGATGTGCAATCTATTTATTATTATTGTATCGATATCGAAAATTAATCGAAACCTCTTCACCATCGCTCGTCAAATAAAATATTACGCTCGTTAATCCTGGATCTAAAACTGGTTCTTAATCATTCGTCTCGTAAGATAACGATTTGAAAAAAAAATATATATATATACACAATTTTTATTATTTATCACAAACAAAGTATCAAAATTTAAAAGATTGAGAAAAATTAACTTTTGTATTCCTCGTCGAAATGTCGTTTAACAAACGTCCAAGTTGAAATAGTATGCCATTTTCTTCATTCCGCGTGAAATACAAATTTCAAGTTTGTTTGACGTTTGGGACGTCTAAACATTATTATAATACATTTCACTACAACGTTCAGTCACGCGTAATGCAAAATCTCGTCGTTTGAGATTTCGATAAAAATGAACGTCGTTTAACGATCCAGGATTGAATGAACAATTTTCGAAAAAATTTTCACGAAAAAAAAATGCGACTATTTATATTAATTTATTAATTATTTATATTAACTGTTTTCAGATATATCGACGATATTAGTTAAAATAATATTCACGAATAAAAGTGACTAAGTTTTATATTGTTTTTCTATAAATATGTTATTTATAATTACTTGAGATAAAAATAAATAAACTCTTTTGGAGAATTATAATTTTAGTCTACTTTTATCCCGTGTTTTTAACGATATTTTGAACATTATATATCGAATATTTAATCATATTGTCGTTCCATATACGATCCATGCCGATTTCGAGATCATTTAGAAGCAATTAATTGTCTTCTTAACGAATTATAACAATATTATCGATAACGATATCGATACTTTCACGATCTTTCACGAAAGTTAGAGCGAATCGTCTCGATATTTTAACGAATTATAACGATATCATCGATATTGTTACATAATTCTAGATTACAGTCATCCAGTTATAATTCGTTAAGACGTCGGCGGAGACGCCGATTTAGAGAGATTTAAAACGAATCGATCGTTTTCCCCGACATCTTAACGAATTATAACGTTATAATCGATATTTTTGTCGATAATGATATCGATCGTCTCAACTTTAAATCACGAAGACACCGATTTCGAGAGATTTAGAGCGAATCGATCGTCTTTTTCGATATCTTATTAACGAATTATAATAATATTATCGATATTTTCACAGATCACGATCTCGAAAGCTAGAACGAATCGATCTTGCTCGATATCTTAACGAATTATCGATGTCGTCACAATTCCAGATTACAATCATCCAGTTACAATTCGTTAAGACGATCCTCTTCTTCGATATCTTATTAACGAATTATATAGTAATATTATCGATATTTGTATCACGATCTCGAAAACTAGATCGAATCGGCGAGTCGTCTCCCTCGATAATTCTTAACGAATTATAACTGGATAATCGTAATTTAAAATTATCGATCTTTCTCGATAACGATATCGATATTCTCACAACTTTAAATCACGAACACGCCGATTTCGAGAGATTTAGAGCGAATCGATCGCATCCCCCGACATCTTAATTACAAATTATACACCGATATCGATGCTGCCACAACTCTATATCGATATCCACAAATCGATACCGATTTTCGTGAGACTTAAAATCGATCGCCTCACGTCTTACAACCGATTATAAACGATATCATCTCTATTTGCCGAGAACTGTATCGATATACTCGGCCGCCTGAGTTCGCGGATCGACAGCCTCCCTCGAGGTAAGCCGCGGCCATGTTACCATGTTTGGCGACCCGCTCCCATAAAATTTCTCGCGCCACCGTCCAAATGCACGTACGTCTCGCTCCTCCGACTGCCAGCCTACTCTCCTACCGGTTCCAGATAAATCGCGTCCACGCCGCTTCTCTATCTCTCTCTCTGTTTCGAGTGCGCGTGCGCAACAGCCACCGCAGCGCAACTTCTATCCGTGCTATTAGAAAACGGTAGGGCGGAGGGGAAGAGGAGGAGCGCGCCACACCCTACCCTCTCTCTCTCTCTCTCATTCAATCACTCACTCACTCACTCGCTCTTGGAAAAGCTCGAGTGCGTTCAGGATTCTCTCCTCCTCGAGAGGAGAGAGAATCTTTCTCCTGTTGGGAGAAGAGACGATGTACGATGGTGTTAAAATTTTAACGATTCTCGTTATTAACGAGGAACGAAAGAGAGGAATGTTGAAAATCTCACCTTTCTTCTTCTTCTTTTTTCTTCTTGTAATTCTAATAGTTTGAGATTAATTAACGAATACGCGGAATCGCCGATTCGACGAAGAAATTGATTGTATTACTATTACCGTTTCTCTCGCTTTGCCAGAAAGAAATATGTTTTAAGAGAGAGAGAGAGAGAGAGAGAAGAGAAAACCGCCATCTTAATAATTTTAATCTTTCAACATTTTTAAAATGCTACGAATCTAAGAGCCGATTTCTAATCTCGTAAATACACCGATTATTCCACGTTGGTTATCTCTTAAGCTAATCGAGGAGGGAAGCGACGTTTCTCAGCGCGTGATACAAAAGGTCCGGTTGCACCGAATAACGGTACCCAATCGCGGGTATGAAACCGGCGACACGCGTGTTCGAATAACGTGTATGAAAACGCATTGCGCTGTGTCGTGTGTTTCCGGATAAGAAAGCGATTCTTTTTCTCTTCTCTTCTTTTTTTTTTTTTTTGAGAAAAATCCATCCAAGAGAAAAAAATATCATCCTCCTCCCCCTTCCTTTCGCGGAAGATTCCCCGATAAACGGAGAAGAAACGCCCCGTCCTTCTCACCTCGATGCCTAAGCCTCCTTCCTTCTCTCCACGAGACGATTAAAACGTACCACCTACGTTTATATTTATCTGTCACGGGTTATCTCTGCGAGCAACAAGGAGAGAGAGAGAGAGAGAGAAGAAGAAAAAATAATAAAAAGAAATGGAACTCGAGAAGGTATGTCGTTTCGATATCGCGTGTATAATATATACACACACGTATCTACGTGTCTCAAACGAGAGACGTTTGAAACGATTCGATGATACCGTTCCAAGTACCGTGTGTAGATACGCGTGTTCGAACGAATACGGTAAGTTCGGTACATGCGCTCCTTCGTTGGCCTTATTCGCGACGGATGTCACCGGTTACCTTCCAATATATATATGTATCGATCTCCTCTTTCCTTCGATCGACCGAGCTCAGTCTATCGCAGGAGGAGCGATACGATGGAAAAACGAAACTTTGAAAGAGAGAGAGAGAGAGAGAGAGATCTAAAATTGTCAGTCGGCGATATTTATAGATTGGTGGAAAAGCTTTACGTGTCCTTTTTGGAGAGTTTCGGGACCACCTTGACGTTGAAAAAGTTTAGCCTGCGGTGGAGACCACCGCAACGTCGGCCGAGATATTTTATTATAGGTCGGTGAGGAAGCTATAGGGGATTCGCCGGAAATACATTTGGATTGTGATTTTTTTTCCCAATTTTTTTCGAATCTTTTTCTCTCTCTCCTCGTGCTGACGGGGATATCGTATTTATGAGAGGGAGAGGCGTGCGCGAATCGCGACCACGTGGGTCTGTGGACGATCCACGCGTCCTCCTTTATCCTCCGGCTATCTATTCATAGACGAGAAAGCGAGCTGTCACCGTGACACGGACGTTCGAAGACAAAGAGCGGGCAAAAGGAGAGACACGTCGGGTCGTTGTCGTCGTCGGGGCGAGGGATGGACCTTTTCACGGGTGGAGAGAGTATACCGTACCCGCAGACAATTGGCCGAGGACCGTGGTTAGGAATGGAATATTAAATGTACGAGGGACGGGTTTAATTTAGCCTCTATCGTATATCAGCTAAACGTGGATGCATTAAAAAAAGTAAAAAAGTGGATGTAAATCGAACATGTCGAATAGATTTTCTAAATCCATTCCAAATGGATTCTTTTAAAATCGTTTTCTTTCGAAACAAATCTAAGCTGGAAATTCAAGTAAAAAGTAGATATATATATATCGAAAGTGTCGATATTTTGTCTAAATCTATTCTAAATGGGTTCTTTTCCTTTTAAAATCGTTCTCAGCGAAATACAAGTCGAGCGTTTCGTAGTAAAAGGTAGATACATATCGAAAGTGTCGATAATTTTCTAAATCTACTCTAAATGGATTCTTTTTAATCTTTAAAATCGTGGATACTTCCGTGGAACAATGAAAAAAAGTTTTCCCTAGTATTATCCATTCGCCATTTCCACAACCTCGACTCATTTATGTCCCATTAAAAATACCCGGGATACAACGTTTTAAAGTCCCAAAGTCGTTTACCATCGTTTCTTTCTATCTAGATCTCTCGTCTCAAATTTTCACTGATCATTTTCGAAAACACATCCGACAAATCGATCCGTTTTCAATCGATCGATATATATATATATATATATGTATATATATCTCGATCGAAAGGACAGGGATCTGTCGGCGGTCGAGCGACGATAAACTCGAAGAGGTAGCCGGTACGGGGACGCGGACGAGGTCGTCGACCCTCCCGAGTCGCGGTTTAAACCGAGTCTTTCCTCCCTGACCGCATCTCGAACCGCGACAGGCAACCTCTCTCGTCCACCTTAGGGACACGCAGCTTTCCCGCTCGTCCATCATTTCTACATTTTTTTTTTTCTCTTTCTCTGTTCTCAGATGAGAGAAGCGCCGAGAGAGGGGAAACGAGGACGGAGCTCGATCATCGGTGGGATGGAACGGTGGTCGGCGCGGCTCGCGATTCTGTGCACGGTGATCGCGAGCGTACGCTCCACCGACGACTTTCGACGCATAGCCTACGAAGGTAAACAAAAAAAAAAAAAGAAAAGTGATTGTGATTGCGTTGACAAGAAGATATATATATATATATATATACATCGATAAGAGAGAGATTCGCGAGCGATCGTGTCTTTCCGCACGTACGTACGAGCTTCTATTTCTAAACAGCGCGGTTACTTACTCTTATCTTTTCCCTCGATTCCGCGGAGAAACTTGTGGGTCTTTCTCAGGCGGAGGAGGATGGAGGGGGAGGAGGAGAGGATCGTGATTATTCGCGATCGATCGACGCGTGGGCGTAGAGGCGCGTCGGTCGCGTGGCGGTTTCGATCGGTACGCCTTGCGATCCATTATTCGTCCATCTTTGTCTTACGCGAGGATGAGGAGAAAGAGAAAGAAAAATTCGATCTGTATTCGAAAAGAAAAATACTGTCTGTATTCGTCTTACGTTGAAATTTACTCGTAATGGGAGAAGAGAAAAATATAGATAGTCTGCACGTGATCGATTTATCTATCTATGTATTTTTATCTCGCGTCGACGCGAGGACGAAAAGAGCGAAAGAAAAATTCTGATCGTGTGAAGTATATATCTGTCCCGCGATCGATTTGCGGGTTTATCTCTTACGTCGATGAGGAGAGAAGGATGGATGTATAACGGAGAAAGATCGAAAGAAAAATTCGAGGTGTCGATCTGTCTTTCTCTTACGCTGAGAGAAAGATGTGTGGTAGAGAAAGAGAAAAAATCGATCGTCTAAAACGTCTCTGCCCGTGATCGATTTATTTATCTTTGTCTCGCGCCAGTGACAGAAGAAGGAAAAGAAATGTGTCTCTATCCACGATTGATTGATTCGTCTTTGTTTCGCGTTGATGAACGAGCGAAACAAAGATTCGATGGTCTGCCTTTGCCCGCGATCGACATATCCATCCGTCTTACATTAACGAGAAGAGAAAGATGGCTACGTAATAGAGAAAGAGCGAAAGAAAAAACGTCTCTGCTCACGATTTACCTTCTTGCGACTGCGAGAAAAAAAAAAGAGATAAAAAATCGCCAATCTCGATGAAAATCGAAAGAAGTAGAGCAAAAGAAAAATTCGTTCGAAAAGGATCTCGGCTCGCGATCGATTTGTCGAGCTATCGCGTCACGGTGCGAAAAAACACGGAGACGCCGAGAAGGAAGCGAGACAAGAAAATCCTCGATCGTTGTTGAATTCTGTCTCTGTCTCTGGCGAGAGAAGGATGGGTATATACGAAGGAGAAGGAAAAGAAAAATGGGATCGTCGTAAACGCGGTGGAAACACGGCCAGCTGGGAGAGAGTCGTCGAAAGTTTCGCCTCGAATCGCTCGCGACTCGAGTTTGAAATCTATGGAGTCTCCGTTTCGAGACTCGGCCACGTTTGTCGCGTAGGCGTGGAGCGTGGCACGCGTCGCCACGCGCGCTTATTCTCGCTGCCTCCTGCTTCCGATCCTACTCCTGATTTTCAAGCGTTTAACCTTTCTTCTTCCCTCTTCCTCGCGCAACTTTTTTTATAACTTATATCCCTCCTCGTTATCACAGATTACACTCGTTCAACTTAAATCGATTATATCGCTCGTTACTTGGCAAACCTGTAAGTTTAAGACTGTCTAACGTAATCGAGCCTACCTTAACTCGAACGAATCCACGAAAGTTGGAACCAGACTTGTTGAATCTTACGACGCGAAGATTATCCTTAACCTTAATTACAATACGGATCTTAGTTTTTCCTTTCTCCCGCACGAGGTCGCGAAATTACGCATCCGTGGCGTCCTCTAACGTCCTCCTACATCGTAAACGTTTCGTTTTACCATTATTGTCCGTCCATGTGTTTTTTGCTCGTCGTGCGATCTCCCTCGGGCAGATACACACGCGGATAGAAAACGAGAAGAGAAAGAGAGGAGAGAAAGGAGATAGGATCGACGAAGGAGGAAAAGGAGAGAGAGGAAAAGAGAAAGAAAAAGAAAAGGCAAGAGAGTGAAGGGAGGATACCCGAGAGAGGCCTTCGAGATCAGGTTATGCTAACTGGGGCCCGTTCGTCCCACACGTATCTACTTATAAGCGCACGTACGCAGTTACACGTACGCGCGGGACGCTGTTGTGTGAGTGGCAGGCACGCGCGACACAGGCAAACGCGTGGCTGGATACGTGGAAACGACGAACCGCGCGGAGGGCTACCTTTGCGGAATCGTTTCGCTGCGTCGGCAAACCGGCTGAAAAACAATAAGACGAAGACGAGGATTAGCAGAAGTACGGGGAACAGGAAAGAGAGAGCGAGGTAAAACGGGTGAAACTCGCGCCTCTTTTTGCCCGATGCTGCCACGATGAAAGTAGAATTTTCCATTATTTTTACTTAATCTTTGCTTCCGTCTTTTCGGAGGGAAAAGATGAAGAGGGCGAGCAACGATTCGAGCCAAATATTTGTTACCGTCAGATGATCCTTGCTTGGAAAATGTTTAGAAGAAAATGATTGAAAAATGACGCTTGGATCTTTCAAGAGATGGGAAGAAAGTGGAAAATCGAGCCAAATTTTTGTCATTGTTATTGTCGGATCTTTCGAAAAATGCTTAGAAGAAAATGAAAAATGACGCTTGGATCTTTCAAGAGATGGGAAGAAAGTGGAAGATCGAGCCAAATTTTTGTTATTGTCGGATTCGTTCGTACACGATCGATCCTTGCTTGGATCGTTCAAAAAATGTTGAAAAGAAAAATTGAAAAATGCAAATCGATGAATGATCTTTCAAAAAATTTTTAAAAGAAAATTGGAAAATTGGTGCACGATCGATCCTTGCTTGGATCTTTCAAAAGAAAAATCGAGCCAATTATAATTGGATTTTTTAAATTATGTAATATAATGATCCGTGATTGAGTTTATAATACCAGCAGACCGAAGAAGAACGATCGACATTAAGTTTTTTCATGAAACAACGTAGCCCGATTTCGGATTCCATTTTTAAAAAATCGATCCATCCATCCATCCATCCATCCTTAATTAATCCAAGAAAAAGTAAAAGTTCATCCAACAGTTTGCCGATGTATAATCGACGATCCCGAGTTGCGCGAATCGGAACGACCAACTTTTCACGGCTGCCATATTTTTCTCTCAAAGATCGATGATCCACGATCGCGCCGCGGGAGAAAAAGTAGAAGATCCTAGTAGAAAAAGAAGAAGAAGAAGAAGAAGAAGCGACACAGCTTCTCGAAGCGGCTAGCTTGCCAAACTAGTTTGTCCGGAAGCGAAAAACGGCTCCTCTTTACATCCTCCTCTTCTCGGAACGTGGAAATCGCGATGGCGCGCGCGACACGCAAGAAGAAGCGGAAAAGAACATATCTCGAGAAATGAAATTCTCATAATGAATTCTCTTTAATACGAATCTCTTTAATACCCAACAATAATCTCTAAACTAAACCCCTCCCCTCTCCCCTCTTCAACGCCTGTTTCAGACTTGGCGAACACCAGCCTGTTCCAGCAAGAGGGGGTCACGTCGTATTCCCAACTGTTGTTCGACGTGGCTAGACAACAGGTCGTCGTCGGCGCTCGGTACGTATGAAATGCGATAAAATCAAAAATTTAAATCTTCGTTTAAATTCGTCCAAAATTTTCCCTCTATTTCCGGGCAAATCTATTTCCTCGATCGAAAATTAGCTGTCTTGGAACACGCGTACATTTGCATCGTATGCGCGTAACAAGAGCACGACGAGAATACCACGTTTCCCTCGACCCGTTCTGTTGAATAAGTTCGATCGATTTTCGCGATGGAATGCGCCCGTTGTTTACACGGGCGAGCGACAAAAGTGGCGTGTAACGTGTAACGAGACGGGACGGGTTGAGTAGCGGTTGCATTCCGGCTGCTCGAAATCGTGGAGGAACGCTCGTTCGATCGATTTTCGTTCGATTAAAAGTACGCGCGATCGGATCGAGCTTGTGGAAACGAGCGTACGCCCTCGTGTTACCTTCTATTAATAGAACACGTTGGTTATTAACCACGACCCACGTACGCCCGGCCTGCCAGGAGGAACGCCGCTGTGCCTCGTTTCTTCGATGGGAGGGGAGGGGGAAGGAAAAAAGAGATTCCAACCTCGTTTTTCGCGGAAAACGAGAAGCGTTTTGCCCATCGAGAGAAACGTGGATGGAAGCGAGATGTTTTCCCACGAAATTGTAACACGAAATTCTTTTCGTATCGATGGAGAGGGAAAAAAAAAAAAAAAAGGGAAACGTGGTCGAGTCGACGTGGAAAATGATATATTGGGATTGGAATTGGAGAGGCGGAGGGGAGGAAGGGAAAGGGTCTAGCCGCGTCGTGCACGCGACACGGCGCCACGATTTGCATTCTTCCAGTTTGATTCGCGTGCTCGACAAGCGTGACGTCACTGAATACTACCTTATCGAGAGCGTATCGCACCGCGACAGGTATATATGGGAGCGAGACGCGCTTTCCTTGCGCCTCGTTGCGTAACAACAACACTCCTTGGTCGTTTTCTTTCCTACGATCTTTACAACTCTGCTCTTTCTTTATCCGCGGCATATCTTCGAGCTGTAAATTCGATGAAATTTCTCTTAACTTCTTCTACTTTTTTCCCTCTTCTTTTTTCTTTCTCGCGATATTCAAATTAACCGCGCGTTAAGGAAAAATAATTAAGTAATTAAGTTGAGAAGAGTAATTAATACGTTTTAGAAAAGTAATACGGATCACAATAGGCAGTATTAGGAGGCAGTGTCTTTGAGTTAAGTAACGAGGGGATCGATTCGATGTCGTTGCATAATTAACGTTGAGGTAAAAAAATTAAAAACCATCGGTTGGAAACCACTAATGGGAGATACGTTGAGATCCTACGATAGTTCCGTTGTGCAAGATTCGAATTCCGCGGTATTGCCTCGTACAGACTCTTTTTTTTTTTTTGTTCGCGATATTCAAATTAGCTACAATCGCGTATGTTTTTTTGTACACGTACGTGAAGCAAAAAAGGAAGAAAGCTTGGAGAAAAAACTAGTATCTTCGAGGGATTTAATATACTTATGAAACATGAATATGTAGAGTGAATTTAAAAATGAATAGCGATTCCATAGATTGGTGATCACTGGGCGGAGGGGGGAGGAGGGGAGACGCGCACGAGCGACACGATACCGTTGCGATCCTATTGCACTTCCGTTGTGTAAGTCAACAGGTTCGTGTTTCGTATTGTCCGATCGATTCGAATATTTTTTACAGTTTTCGTAACTGAATTCTATCGGCAAATGTATCGAATCGTAGATAGGAAGGGAATAGGATGCTGTATTCTATCGAGCTTAAATCCTTAAACGGTCACATTTCGCTCGAAAGTCGATCCATTTCGAGTTGAATCACAATTTTATTCCTTGTATGCGCGCGGCCATCGAACTCCATTAGACGTTGAACAAACGCGAGTCGTGCCCAGAAGTTACGTCGGACGAGAACGAGGTTGGCAAATGATCCATCCTATTCGTTTAACGAACAGGAAACAATCTGTCTCAATAGGATTGCCCGTGCACACAGTGTATGCTACTTAAAATCATACGTGTAGAGATTCGTTTCTATAACACGTGAAAATTTTACGAAACGATTAAAACTCGAACAAAGACGCGTAGTTTTTAATGACAAGATAGCAATAAGATTGAAAAGAGTTTCCTTAAACGTACAAAACTTGATCGCGAAGAATTTTTATCTTTCCTCAAAAATCACTCTAATCGTTAAATGTGTACGATTCTAAGCGATACTCGTCTTACGTGCATAAGTCTCCAAGATCAGAAATATGCAAAATTTTAACTGCTAAGAACAAGTTACTTCGATAAATTATCTCAATAATTTATTATTCGAAGCATCGAATAATCGCAGATAACTAACTAGTTTTAAAGTTGGCTAAGGTTCAGAGTTGTGCATTGGCCCGTTAAAAAAGTAACTAGCTAAAAATTTAAAAATAAAGTTACTTTAAATAATTACTTAAGTAACACTATTAAATTGAATAACATTTATTCGTAGCTATTATAGTTGATCCACGGTTATTCTTCAAATATTATAAAATCTCCGACTCAAATTATTCCAAATTTTTAGCTAGTTACATTTGCAACGGGTTAATGCTCTGCTCTGGACTTTCGCCTCGCGTCCTTTCTTAAAATTTTAGCCGCAATGTCGGCACACGTCCGACGTACATACTCGACGACCGAGCTGGAGCCGCTTCGCTCGACTAACGATCACTTTTGGTCAGGTCGGTTCTCGTCGCGGCGTAGCGCCCACGTAGGCGCCGTTTATGCTAGTTTCCTGCGGCGTGATTGCGCGACAGCTCGAAAGGCGGCGCGCGCCATTTTCCACATGTCCTCCGTCCCACGCGTGTAAACACGTGAAAAGCAGTAAACGATTCCGATTCCAGAGATAATCTGTACCGGTTAACCCTAACGTCGCTGTCGCCCCTTGAACACGCCTCGTGGCCAGCTCCCGAAAACAAGACCAATACCTGCCAGAACAAAGGACAGAGCGTGGAGGATTGCCGCAATTATGTCAAGGTGTTGCTTACCAATGGAAAAAGTCTGTTCACTTGCGGCACGTACGCGTTCAGCCCTTGGTGCACGTGGAGAGAGGTAAGCGGTCGAATCAGAGAGCGAGAGACGAAGGAATTTTTGAGCGTGCGAATATATTTAATGGTCTCGTTATCGACGTGTTATCGACAGTAGATGTCACTTCGAGTTAATATTCTCTAGATTGAAAACATCAGTAGCGTAACGAGCGAGATGTCGGGTGTTGCGATGAGTCCTTATTCGCCACACGCGAATGTCACCGCTTTATTGGCAAGAGGTCCAACCGGTGGACTCTTCACCGGGGCGCCTACCGACTTCTCTGGCTCTGATCCAGCCATTTGCAGAACTCTTGCCTCGCCGAATCTCAGAACGCACCAGTACGATTCCAGGTGAGTCTTACTTTGGAAAAACGATTCTCTTCCCAATTGTATTTCTATATATTTTCGATATTCCATGCGTGTATTCCACGATTGATTTCAGATGGCTGAACGATCCTCAGTTCGTGGGCAGTTTCGAAACCGAGGACCACGTGTACTTCCTATTTCGCGAATCAGCCGTCGAGTACATCAATTGCGGCAAGGTGATTCGAGCGAATTCCACTACTATATTCTCTCTTACCTGCGTACGTTTGATATTAAAAGATCGTCTCTTTTAGAAAATCTATTCGAGGATAGCAAGAGTGTGCAAGAACGATCGAGGTGGACAAATAATGATGAGAGAGGTATGGACCACGTTCAGCAAGGCACGATTGAACTGTTCCTTCCAGGCGAATTTCCTTTCTACTACGACGAAATTCAAGGCGCGGTTTATCATCCCGAGGAAAAAATCGTTTATGCGACGTTTACCACGCCCATGTAAGTAATATCAAGATTCTATGCATCGTATCGTACCGTTTCACCTTCACCATATATTTCCATCTAACGCTTCATTCGTGAAGGGGAAAGAAGAAAAATAAGAGATTCGGTATGTATAGTCGCAGAAATTCCTAAATCAGTGCCGTTATCTTTTTTTTCCCTCCCCTCTTTTCTTTGCCTGTTTCGTACGACGGGGGAGAGAAGGAAGGCCTCGAGAATCGCTAAAGTTCCCGTTTATTTTTAGCAACGGTATTGCCGGCTCGGCTATATGCGCGTTCAACATGTCCGCGATCACTGCAAGCTTCAACGGCCCCTTCAAACATCAAGAGAATTCTGGCGCTGCGTGGGAGAGGAGGCCGGTCTCTCATCACAATCGACAACGGTGCGGCTCCTTCGCGAACGTCGCCCCTCATCAGATCATAGATAACCAGAGGTACCAATTGATGGACGATGCGGTTCAAAGCACCACTCTCGAGCCCTTGCACACCGCTCTTCTCGAGAGATTCACGTTGATCGCCCTCGACGTGACGCCGACCAAGCTGCATCGCAGCGTCACCATACTCTACGTCGCCACCGATGTTGGCTTGCTCAAGAAAATCTCGGTTTTACCTCGAACGCAGGAAACCTGCATCGTCGAGGTGTGGGGTCCCCTACCTTCCACGCCGATCACCTTGCAATTCTTAAAAGACACCCAGAGTTTGTACGTCGGTACAGAATTCGGTTTGTTGAGGTACAACGCCTGTACAACGAATTTGATTCCAATCACTTGAAATCAGAAATCTAATTCTATCCTAATTCCCGTAGAATACCCGCGGCCCAGTGTCACCGACATCGAACTCGTCAATCCTGTCTGAACGCGCAAGAACCGTATTGCGGCTGGAACGAGCATCTGATGAAATGCGCGCCAGCCCCGAAACAAAATCATCTGGCCAATCATTGGCACCAGGAGGTGACCAAATGCCCTGTACTCACGGATCCCGTGGACGGTGGTTGGAGCGCCTGGAGCTCGTGGTCCTCGTGTCAACACGGTACCGCGGAACACTCGCACTCGCACTCTCACTCGCACATTCATTCCGAGCATGCCGAAGCGGTGAGTCGAGAGATCCTCCCGTCAACAAGGATTTCCACGCGGATTCGATTCATATTCACGTTTCTCTTCTATCAGCCCGCGGATATCTGCCAGTGCCAGACGCGGGATTGCAACAATCCGCCTCCTCAACACGGTGGAGCGTCTTGCATCGGGGCGAGAGTTAGAGTGACCAATTGCACGGTTCACGGGGAGTGGACAGCTTGGTCGGCCTGGTCGGCGTGCTCGCAAACCTGTGGATTCGCGATGAAAACGCGACGACGCACGTGCACGAATCCAGCCCCGGCTTTCGGGGGGCGAGTCTGCGTGGGACACGACCACGACGACAATATCTGCATAGACCTTCCACCGTGTCCGGCGAAAGACGAGGCACCGCCATCCGAATCGTTCGGCCAGTGGTCCACTTGGGGTGGTTGGAACGCTTGCTCCAGACCCTGCAACGGAGGTAAGCGGGATACGATGGTTTTTCTCCTCCTCCTCTCACGCGCCTTCTAATAATCGATCGTGTGTTCCGCAGGAATAAGAATACGAAGGAGAACGTGCGAGAATCCTTCGCCACGAAAGTCTGCCACGGTCGAGTGCAACGGATGCGACACGCAGGTAATACGGTGATGCGCTCGTTTTCTCGAATCACGATGTAACGTTTCTCGAACGACGTGTACTTACCTATTTCTTATCGTAGACCGAGGAATGCAACACTCATCCATGCATCGAGACGAAAAGGTATTCCGGCTGGACACCGTGGCTGGCGGCTAACGGGAGCTTTCAGAGTTCGAGCATGGGTTACGTGGAGAAACGGTTTCGATTCAGTTGCCGCGCGCAAACGGATGACCCGTCCAGCGTAAGGGTTCAACTGGCCAAAGAGGAGGAACGTTATTGTAGAAACGGCTCTTGTATGAGGAGAAACGCGAATCAGAAATCGTACTCTGATCTCGCGATAGAGGCCGGATGGGGTGAATGGTCTGCTTGGAAGACTTGCGATCGCCTCTGCGGCGGAGGTTCTCAACACAGGATCAGGCAATGCGAATCACCGCCATGCGAGGGTTTATCTGTGCAGAGTAGACAATGCAACGTGCATCCGTGTCGACCGAGCGCAGTCGGGGACATTGCGATGGAAGGGCAGTGGTCCTGCTGGACTGACTGGTCCGAATGCTCGGTTTCGTGCGGTGTCGGGATACGCTCGAGAACGAGAGAATGCCTGGGGCCGGAGAGCTGCGAAGGATCGAGTTTGGTCAGAGAGACCTGCGAGATGGCCAGTTGCGAGTCGTTGATCGGTTGGGACACGTGGTCGCGTTGGACGCCTTGCGATAACGACCATCAACAATATAGAAAGAGACAATGCCTTCAACACGGCAGTGGAATGTGTCAAGGAGCCAGCAGAGAAACGCGCGACTGTTTGTCAGATTGCTCGGGCAATGGTGAGCACAGGAATGAGATTCAGATACGATTTTCTTTCTCGTTATTTTCATCGTGGAATTTTCTATGTAATTTTCATTCTCGTGTGGAATTTATGCTACATTGTATACATAATTTTTCAGAAGTGAACGCTTTATGGTCGATGGAACGTTCAGGCATAACGATCGGCGCTGTGGTGGGCAGTTGCGTGGTCGGCTTCCTAGTTGGCTTGGCCGTGACCGCAATTCTAAGCTTCTACTATCTGAAGCGGCGGCAGCAACGAATTCCAGGCAGTCCTCATTATATCAGCAAACAAAACTCCTACGTTACGGTTCCTATGAAGGAGGTAAAGTTATCATTTGTACGCGTGACGTATACGATAACGACATGAATTTTGGAATAAAACGAGATCTCTGCTTGATACAGGTAAACACCAAGCGACAACCTAGTTTCTCTGGTAGTACAAACGGTAACGGAACTCTTCGTGGAAAGAATAATCCGAATGTGAATACTCTTGGAAGTCCTAAATTATATCCAAAGAGTCTTGATTACGAGTCTGCTACATTGAAGCGCAACAGTCATGGGCAGCAACATATTCGAGTCGATCCGGATCAAGACAAGTACTATTGAGCGACTAATGCGCAACACGCATGAAGAAACGTATAAATTTATTTCGTCATCTAATGATTTCCGCGTTTCGACTAAACTGCACGCGAGACTAGCATCTACGAACAAATACCGCCATGAAGGCATATAGCGAGCACAGCGCTTTTTAAATAACAAATGATTACCTATCTCGCGAATGCGCGTGCTACGCTTGAGTATCAACTTAACCGAAGACTAAAATCCAAACGGACCAGGGACAAAGGCGCATGCACTTAAACAATCGCCTTTACTTGAAATCAAGTGATATTTATCCTGTATACAGTTTTATTTTATGTGACAGACACGAACACGTCTAGTTTCGCGTCATATGATTCAGTGCCATCGTTACGACGAACGCTTGCATCATTTCACAATATCGTTAAAGACAAACGATAAAGAACGGGCGTGTAACGTATCGAATTGTACCTATTGTACATGTGTGTGCATTTAAATGCGTTTAAGATATGAGTGAGAGATTGCGAGAATGTGAACGAGTTCATAATGTGCGTATGTGCATTCATGCAAATATAGAGCGTGTGATTCGCGCATTTTTTATTATTGGCTCACATTGAGTCGCGGTTATGTTATGCGCGAAAGAAGGATAATCGAAAATGAAAGAGAGTAGAAAGATAAAAATGTTCATATGCGCGTCGCGATATTCGGCGTAAAAGATGACCAAGCTTTTAAGACTCGATTTAGCCGGGAATTTGATTCGAATTATTTCGAGTCGACGAATTTTATAAACGCTTCATACCGTGGCATAGTATCACGCGATTATAATAAAAGGAACGAGATGAGCTCGCAATAATAAATTACTCGAGCGATCTTCATTTTCTCCCGATCTTTTTTTCTCATTTACTCGGTAGAGCGGGTAGACATTAATTTATGTTTATAAATCAACGGCCAATTCTTCGATCTTATTGATTACGTAATCCATTGAAGCTTTACTCGGTGGTGGTTGACAATTGATCACCATACGGAAAAAGTTTCCAAGTTTTTTAAAGGATAGTGGCATATATCCGATCATTAGCGTTCCATTCGTCATCATACGTTCCTTAATTTTAGGTGCAATCTCGTATAATTTATCCCACCATTCTTGTGTTTCTGGTTGATCTCGCATGCTCGGTGGTATATACCTATTACGAATCGAAACGGAGAGCAATTGTAATTACACGAGGCAATACCATATTTGAATCGACAAGAAAAAATAACTTACCAAAAGCAAACGTTACAACCTTCGTATTGAGGAAGTACCAAGCGAAATCCATTGCGATTTCGAATTCGATCGATAAAGTATTCAACAGCTGATATAGCAAGTTCCACGGATTCGCGAAGTCCTTTGGTCCCACGTGCTTTCCACATCAACCAAAATTTAGCTCCATCGACCTACAACGAAGAGGATTGTCGTCCTATCGAGAAAACGGAAACTTCTGCTTTAAATTATTATCAACCAACTTTATAAAATCTCACCTTTCTCCCACACTGCAAACTTTTGTCACCCGTGTCCCAGGATACATCATAATGTTTGTCTTGTTGAAACAGATATTTCGCTCCCGCGCAATTTGTCTCGTGTAAAATGTTTTTACCCTTGACCAGAAACAATGAGCATTGCAATGGGGCGCCAAGTGTCTTGTGGGGATTCCATGCCACAGAGTTGGAGCTACATCAAAAAATTCAATTACTAGAATATATGAAGATTTAAAATAATAAATCTGTAAAACAGAATTATTACGTACAGTTCGATTCCTTTTAATCGATTTCGATACTTTTCCGAAAGCAATAACGTGCCACCGAGACATGCCTATAATGAAGAAAATTGAATTATAATTGAAAATCTTTCATTTTTGTCTTTATATTATCATACTTGTACGAACGTCAACATGTAACCATAAATTTTCCTCACGACAGATAGCCGCGATATCCGGCAATGGATCAAAAGACCCGAGAACCGTAGTGCCGCAGGTGGCATTCACGAAGAATGGTAAGTGACCTTGTCTTCTGGCTTCCGCTATGGCAGCTTTCAATTCGTCCGGTCGCATACGTCCCAATTCGTCGCATTTTATCTATGCGAATAATTTTTATTAACAGATGAAAATGTAAAACAATATCGATAGAAATTAATGCTCTTTTTACCTTGTAAACATGATCAGTTCCCAAACCTAGCCAATGAGCTCCTTTCGAGATTGAATAATGGCCAGCCTCGCTGGTAAAACAAACGAGCGGTGGAAATCCCGCGAGACCTTTCTTCTTAACGTCAGGAATCATTTTATATCTAGCCAGCACCATGCCATACATATTAGAGATACTACCGCCAGGACAGAGAATTCCATCTCCGTCCGGCATGGACGGATATCCGATCAATTCCAAAGTTTTTTCTATCACTTGCCGTTCCATCAAAGTAATACAGGAGCTACCTCATACGTATATCTAACGATATGAATCGAACATGCATTGTATGAGAATCGTTCCTTCTCTTTTTTATAACAAAAACAGCGTATTAAAGAAAACTTACTGGCTTGTATTAAACATATCCGTCAACCAAGATCCAGCTAGGCCATATTCGTCAACACCAGCGTAGAGTTGATTATGGAAATGTGGACTGTATGTTTTGACGGAGTATCGGATCGTTTGTCGGATCGCATTTTCGATTTCATTTTTGTCAGCTGGTTCCTCGGTCAGTTTAATTGGTAGTCGTTCCTGTAAAACGAAAAATAATGAATAAATATTCAAAGTGAACGAATAACAAGTGATCGTGAAGTTTGGAATTAAATCATAGCTCACTTGCAATTCATCTGGATGAACAAATTGTACGAGTAGTTCGTTGCCTGTACGATCGAACGCATTTTCTTCCTCGAGAATTTCGAGCAGTTGTTTGAACAGCTCGATCGTTGCCTTCGTAGATGACGAAGCGTCCATTGCGTGTCGTAAACTAAATTCTTATTCTTGGTTAGATCAACGATATCGAGACAACGCCATTCCCCCACGCTTTAATTTTCGTTCCTCCATTCGTTGTTGTTTATTCGATCAGCCACTTGCTTGCTGGACGCGGAAGATCGGAATCGTTGCAAGTAGCACAACACGCGACACCAACGTTGACCGCGTATTTACGAGATATCGACCGGAAATTTTCGCGTCGCGCAATCGGTCAGACGAATACGGTCAAATGGGTCGATGAGTCGTAGAAATGTAATACGAGATACGGTCGATAAAATCGTACGATAGAGTACACAACTATGTAAGAGTAACGAGCAAAGTGTTATGATAACAAAAATAAAAAAAAATACTAAAGAGATGAGAGGGGATTGTTCCTATATTAAACTCGAATGCAAAAGTTTAATTTCTGATAACGGCGAATACATAGAAAAAAATATATCGAGACGTTATCTTTGTGAAGAAATGGTGGAACGAGAGAGGTTAGGCGTTGAGACGGACTCGTTTCGCGAGATAGGATTATCAGTAGAAACGATGTTTCGACCACTGATTAGATCTATCGGAACTCGAGGAACCAAACCCTTCATCGAAGCCCACTGTCCTTCACAGAGTTCGTGAAATGTTAAACGGAGCAACAGTCTGCCACCGAGAGTACCGGGACCTCTACAAACCGCTCCTGCACCAAATTCCCAAATGCCTAAATTCTCGGACGAGTTTGTGTCGTTTACCCGCGTTAGGTACATTCTTTGCAACCATGTAGCTAGATAGGAGGCAGCACAATCGCAGTGCCATGGGTTTCTAGCGAGACGAAGCTGTTCGATTAATTCTACGGCGTCTAAAATCCGAGGCGGCAACGACGACAGATAATTCGATTCTAACTGCCTGCTGACGATTATTAATTATTTCACTTTTCTGATTATTAATTATTATATACTTACCAATTGTTCAATTTTACTCACAGTTTTCGCAGATTCGGTGTATCTTGGAATAGCTCGGGATGCAAGATTCTCAAGTGATTCGAGTGCAAAAACAGAGATGTCAAATTAGATAAGCCTTGGAACGTGCCGCGCAATAGATTCTCTATTCCATTTGCGTACAATACCAGTCTTTCCAAACTGGCAGACATTGAAAACAGTCCAGGCGTCAAGTTTTTTAAACGATTGTGTCCCAGTTGAAGTTCCTTCAACGCTACCAAACCTTGAAACGCAGTCGGATTGATCTATGATGTAATGCGATACGTATGTATCAACGAACGGAAAGAAAAAAGTAAAGAGATCAATGAACGACATACATATGTATGAATAGAAGACGTGGACGGAAAAATTACATAGAATGTTTTTTTGTTTTCCGATGTTGACACAATCCTAGCAATTTTTATTGGAAAGTAATAAGTGTTTTCTATTATTAGGCCCAATATACACGAATGATATGTACGCCATTGTGATTCTGTTGCAATTATTCAGGCAGGTTATGTTTCTAATGCGATATATAATCCCATTAAAACAAGATAAAACAAAATGTTTCACGATTTTTTGAAAATTAATATCAAATTAAAAGAACTTTTTTGATTTTTTTCTAATTTAATAATTATTTTAATTCATCGCTCTTCTAAAAAATGATAAGGCAATTAATTACAGATAAGAATTAAACGACCACTCAAACTATTACTGCACGTAAATTATAATTGATAAGATCATAAAATTTTTATACTAATTAATCTAAGATAAAATTACAATTACAATAAAATAATAAAAATACAATATAAGAATCTTCCTAAAATAGGAAAACAAAAAATATTCTATGAATTTTTCGTACACATTTCGCACGTATCCGATATTTACTCGAGCTATCTTGTTATTGGACATTTCAAGAGAGTTTAGTTGTTCGAGAGGCGCCAGTAATCTTGCAGATATCTCCGACAATTGATTACTTCTGAAGTTCAACTCGCGAAGTGACGTTTGCATCCGAAATAATTCATCGGGTAATTCCCTCAGTCGATTTTCCTCCAAACCAAGATATTTCAAACTTGTCAAGTCTTTAAACAGGTCAACAGGTAGAACCGACAGTCGATTTTTTCCAAGCAATAGCTCTTCCAACATGGTCAACCCGTGGAATATTCCCGGTAAAAAGCTCGATATTCGATTACAGGAGAGGTCGAGCAATACTAGCAACGTTGTGCTCAAGAAGAGGCTCTCTGGTAGATTTCGCAACTTATTGGAAGACGCATCTCTGCATCGCATCAGGAACCAACGAGAAGATACATTTAATATTAGAAAAAGGTAAAAAAAGATCAGGAATCAAAAGAAAGAAAATCAAAAAAAAAAGAAAAACAATAGATATGATCAAATAAATTATCGATTCTTTCTCGATTCATTTGTTCTTTATGCTATCAAAAGAAGGCAAGATCGATTTGACGATCACTCACAGAATACGAAGATTTCGTGTGTTGAAGAATTGAGATCGATGCATTTCTCCGAGTAAATTTTTGCTCAATCTGATGCGCGTAACAGCGTGCAACGAGAAAAACAAGTTCAACGGAAGATGCTCTATCGAGTTGTCGCTCAGATCTCTGAAACGAACGATCATCAAAGAATTTTCTCGAGCGCTACGAAACCGTAAAATAACCTCTTTCTGCGATTCCTTTTTTTCTTTTACTCACAGATGATTCAACCGTGTCATGTCCAAAAAGGTATCCCTGTGAAGCGTTGTCAGTCGATTACCAGCCAAGTCCCTGAAAGCAACCGTTTCTCTCGATTCTAATCAGATTCCTTTCCTTTTTCTTTTCTCTTCGAAATTAGTGGCAAGAAGGAACAGAATAGAATATAGGAGAGGGATGGAAGGAAGGCTTACAATTTCAACACATCCCGAGGAACTAGCTGCGCTGCAGGAAGATCCAACAGATCCTGCCTCCAACAAGACACCAATTTTATTTCCGGTTGACATCTACACGGCCCTTCAGCGCAAATCTCCCAGTCTTCCTCATCCGAGCTCATCTGCCAAACTGTGAACCCAACACGTCCCGTCGCTGATTCAATACAAAGGAAGAAGGAACTGACTCGACGAGAGGAGGAAAGAAAGAAAAAGGCCAAAGGCTTACCGGGTTGCTCGATCGCTCTGAGTCTTCTTTCCAGACGAGATAAACGACTCTCGAACTCCTCGAAAATCGTGGCCATGACAACGTTACTATTCGTAACATTCTCTTCTTTCGTTATCTGATCGGACCGCGGCCCTATTCTTCCCATTGCCACCGATTGTTCGAAATTCGACTGTTCGGGATTCGCGCAATCGCGAGACGCCTCCGCTCGAGGTTTAGCTTCGAGCGACGTAATAAAAATAATCGTCGTGAATACGAGGAACGAGCGCGACTCGAGGCGACGGCGACTCATTCTTTTCGCGCGGAGTAAAATTCTTCTCTTCTTTCTCGAGGGACGCGACGACTCGATCGACTCTCTCAAGAGTCTCTCTCGCGCGATCGTTTGATCGTTCTTCTCGCCCTTCTCTCTTTATATTTCGCCTCGTTCCTCGCACGATCTTCCGCTCTGTCCGCTCGTTAATTCATAGTTGCAGCTTTTGGCGTAACGCTACGAGATTGACAAACAATGGACGGGCGTCCATGCTGACGCGTAATCGTCCATCTACCACTTATCGTAATCGCTGTTTACCCGGTCCCCCCCTCCTCCAATGCTTCCCTTAAAAACTTGAATCAACATTCTCTCGTAAAAAAAAGAAAAAAAAAGAATAAATATATATATATATCACAAATCGTACCTCGATGGGTATTAACCCTTCATCACGAATTTTAATGGTATTTCTCTTCAATATTTTGTTATAATTAAACAAATTCTCATTTATTCAATTTTTGATTGGCTTTTTTTTTTGTTTATAATTTTTCAGGATCATTGTGGTTAAAAAAAAGAAACGAGAAAAATCCTGGATGTTCAATAAAACCCATTCAATAAAATCGACATGGACGAAGAAAAATCCGAAGAATTAATTATTAATAAAATGTGATCAATCGTGAAATACGCGCGATTTCTCTTCTTGCCATTTCTTTTATTTTCACACTCGCTAAAATCTAAAGCTAAAACATCACAAGCCCGACGTTACATAAGATTGGTTAAGCATTAAATTTTCCTCGATCATGAAAAAGCGGCGGTACGTATGATGCGAGGTGAGATGATCATCCTTCGTTGCCTCGAATTCAAGAGAGCCTCACGCCCCCCGATCCTGGACACTCGCCCTTGTTCTTCACCACCAATTCTAGTAAAAAAAAAAAAAGAAAAAAAAGAACGATTCGAAAGAGGAGGTTGACGTCTGAATTTAAGGAAAAATGCACACTCACTTGTCCCCATCTCGCAGTTGTAAACGTTGAGAGCGCACTCGGTGCCGAACGTTCTTGGCTTGAAGGTGGCGTCGTTCGGATCGTGGGCGCAAATCGGGTCGTAAGTGATCGTGGTGCAGTCACGGGCGCAGTCCTTCTTCTTCTTCGCCGCCTCTTTGGCTAACTTCACTTCCTTCGATGCGGTCGCGGTATCCTTGATCTCCTTGATCTCTTTGATCGGTTTCGTCGAGGGCGAAGAGGTGTCCGCCGCCTCGGCGAAGACGAGGGCGCACGCGACGACCAACGCTGAACCATTTGGTCGCGAAATTAATTCCAAAGTCCGAAGATTAAGGGGAAAACGTGGCGCGATTTTCGAGAATTTCAAAAGAGCAATTAAACTTCATCTTCTACACCGTGTTCTACACCGTCTTTCAAATGGAACGATTTAAGTTTACGCGTGTATATATATATATTCAGATAAAGACGGAATGAATACGAATTGAATTGGCAGTAACTCGATAAATAGGTCACGTTCTTTTAAATCAAATTTTTTATTCGTTTCAGAATCGTCTAGAATCAACTTCAACTTCAAAGATGCGTCACGAATTATACGTTACACGTCCTGTGCGTGTTCTCTCTCTCTCTCTCCCTCTCACTCTTCCCCCGCCCTCTCCCCTCCCGATAATTGATCAAGGAAAACGAAGGAGCAAAAGTTGTCGCGACACGTTTTCGCGCGTGACCTTAATTCGATCCTCGTTAACAAACGTGATCGACTTCCTTTTCCTCCGACGCTTAGTCAAAGTCACGCGCCTTATCGAAAGACCTTAATTCGTTCCTCGTTAAAACGTGATCGACTTCCTTCTTTTTTCTTTTTTTTTTTTTCTTGCTCTGCTCGCTTACATCAGTGATCAGAAATCACGCGGCGCGAAAAATAATAGCGCGGATACGTGCGTCTCTTCTTTCTCGATATTCTGTTTACTTACCTAGTAAAACGATCGACTTCATGATTCACCCAGGTGAAAGGAATAGGCTGGCGCGCGTGTGTGTACGTGTGCGCGTGCGTACGACGACGAAAGCGAAACTATACTCACCCGTCGAGGCAAAAAACGACTGAAACATAGCCGGCTGTAGCAGCACCGTTTATAAACGAACACAACATCCCCACCGTGTGTCCTCCGGTCCGGAAAACTCGAGAATAATAACAGAGGATCACGTAGCGGCAATCTTCGAAATTGGTCGCGCCTCCGCGCTCTTCGCCACTGGAATTGTTAAGTGTTGCGATTTCGTTGGAAATGGAACGAAACGCAAAGTGGAAAGAAGCGAAAGGCATGCGCGTAACGATGCTTGGAGACGAACGGACGTTTTTATTTGGACGGCAAGCGTGTACACGAGTCCATTGTAAATATTATTGTTTACATAGGTAACGGATAAATACGCGATAAAGGATCCCGTGGGTCAACGAGAAATATTCGCGGCGAATACCGACGTGTTGGTCACTGGCCGAGAATTCTAATTATAATGAATGGATCGCTTTCGAGTTTAAATAAGAAATTAATCGGTATTAAAGATTAAGGAATGGAATTAAAATTTTTTCTTGCATTAAATTTTCTTACGCAACAGAGTGATACGCAACAGATGTGCGATTTCAATCCCGAATCTTTTGATATTCCGTGAAATGAATTCATTATTATATAATATCTCGAGTTGATCCGTGGGATCCTTAAGAATCGATCGACGACCGAGTTTATGGTCGGATCGAGAAAAATAGTTTTGCAGAAACGAAATTACGGATTAAAACTTGTCTCGTATGAGCCGAGCCTCCTCCATGATATAGTTCTGCAACAGTTGTTCGTAATCCGGCCAGGATTCATCGTGTTCGAAGGCTCTTTGTATTTGGCACTGAAGCGTCGAGCACTCGGATCGTGGTTTAACCACATCGACTCCGTATTGCTTCATCGCGTCATGCACCACCAAGGTTAAGCGGTTCAATCTGTCCCACACCATCGAGTTTGCTAAAAGTGTAAAAATAATTCTCAAAAATATTCACTTCACTTCGCAATCAGCGTCAAAAAGATTTCTTTAAGAATTTAATTAAAAATCCAAACACTTGGGATCGAAAAATAATTCTTGATTTAAAACTTTAAGAATTTGATTAGAAAATCCAAGAGTTGATACTTTTGCAACTTTGCAGAAAATAATTCTTAAGAAAAATTCAAAAGTTTCTGCAACTTTAAATAATTCTTAAGAATACACACTTTCCCGACCAGCATCAAAAAGATTTCTTCACAAAGTTTGATTTGATTGAAAACTAGAAGAATTCAATTAAAAACTATAAATCCAAAGGATGACGTAAACACCACCAACTGCAACTTTGCATCAGCTACGCCTTAGAATTTTAATAAACACTTTAGCATATTATAACCATAAAACGATTGAAGAGATTAAAAGTTGCCGCATTGGATTGAATTAAAAAAAAAAAAAAAAAAAATTAAAAACAGGTATACGAGAGAAGGAGAATAATACCGTTCAGAAAACGACGTCCCTCGTCCTCGTCGTCGTTGCTCCCCTCCATGTTGTTCCCTTTGTTACCTTTCTTGATCTCGAGTTTTGGAATGAACAGCAACAGACAGATAACAGCGATGAACTTGACGATCATCTTAAATATCACCAGCTTGAGAAGTATCTTGGCCAGGGTGAAGGCGTTCAGCTTGAGCGCGAACGGCCAGGAGAAATCGATGGACGGAAGGGAGAGTTGCACCGAGTCGGATATCCCGTGTGGCGCCCCATAAGCTGGAACGTTTTCGATACATCGTCCAAAAAACGATCGAAAGGAATCGAAGAAATATTCTCTCCGTTTCAAACGAGCCTAATACGATACCTCGTGTCTCACCTTGCTGTGGCTGATATGGCGAGTAACCACCTCCACTTGTCCCATAAGAGTAATCGTTGGAGGGTGGAGGCCCGTAGGAAGGCGATCCGTAAGAAGATTGGGGCGGTCCGTAAGTATTTTTAACTCCGTTAAAATCGGCGGACGTTCGAGTAGGCAGGGAGTAAGAGTCGCTTGGCACCATGGAGAAAGAGTCTCGATCCACGTGAACAATTCTCGAGGAGGAGGAGACGGGTATCTCGGAACGTTTGGTCGTGTACACGGGTCCCAACGATTGCTCCTTCCTTCGATGAAACGATCCTGATCCAACCACGTCAACGATCCCCTCACGGGGATCGGTGCTGGTGCGAGAATGCCTTAGAGCCTCCAGATAACTGTCTCTTCGGTAACTGAAAGGGCCGCCGCTTTTTCTTTCGACGCTCCTAGTAACGGATAGCTCTCCGTCGGAACGAGCTTCCATCTCTGTCCCGTGACTGGTAACGGACGATGAAACGTTGGACGGATTAACGTAATGGTCGTTGTCAGGTATCACGGTCCCGTTCCTGGCGAATTCATGCCCGCTCGCGACGAGGATCAGTGGGAAAAACAGCAGTCTGAAAACGAGGGACGAATCTCCACCACGATGCGCGATCATCGCACGAACAACGAAGGAGACGGAAGAGCGAACAGAACTCGCGCGAGCGCGCGTTTTTCTCTTTTTTCTGGAGAGTTCGAGTCGAGGTCTCCCGATCGGCGAACGAATTTCGAATGGATAGGTTGGGACGAGCGAGGGAACGTTCAGAGTTCCGTCTAGCTTCCCCCTCGAACGACGAGGGAACGAAGAATGCATATTAAACGGCGGTAACGGTTCAAGACATGGGGGATTGTGTATTCGAGGATCGTTTTCGCCTCGACTTCGAATTTGCCACCTCCGTCGGTTTTTAACGGTGCCGGTTGCTCTCCCCGCTTCGTTCCGAAAGAATCGGACGAAACGTGGTCTACGCTCCCGTGGAAAGGCGTTGAATCCATTGTCATTCGTTCGAAGTAACGATAACGGTGTCGTCGAACCTCCTACGCTCGCTATGATCCACTGGCACACTTAATAACGCGGCACGAAAATCGGTCGCGGCGTGCCACCGCGTTCACTCGCGGAAAGGGAAATTCGAGTGATCGATATGATGGTTGCTCGGTGGATTCGCCTAGGCAACGAACAGAGCCAATCCCTTCTTCTCCAAAGATTTGCACAAATACTATATTTGTTACTTGATCCTCGTCAGACTGATTAACTAAGAAAATTAATCAACTGGAGAAAGTATTTTTATTTATTTTATCAAATCTAATTTGTGAAGATTGGTATTATTAATCGGCATCGATAATCATATTGTTGGTAAAATCATGTCGTTAGAAACGATTAAGACCTCGTAAGTAATAATATCATCCTCTTTTCTTTATTTTGATTAGATCTCTTTTTATGGTGATCTCTTTTTATACCAGATGGATCAGGTTTGGAAACTGTCGGGACTTTATCTTGGTCGGTAAGAACGCGATCGCGATGGCCTCTGGTATCTACATCCGTTTTCACGAATTTGAATGCAGAGAAACACGAATTGAGCGATTCGATGGCGGCGAGAGAGGAGACGGCGCGTGTTGCCTCGCTGGACTTTCGGTAAGTCGCTTTTGTCTTGCTTTGGTATGAATAAACAAAGGAGTGAAAACGTGTCGTACGTTGCATCGGCAGGTGGCACCCATTTTCTCCGTGGTCGAGAGGAAGTGCAATCCAAGGATCTCGGTGTTCGCTTATCCCACGATGCGAAGGATAAGTCGGTGCATCGGAAGCGAGGAAGAGGTTGGCTATTTGTGCTGTGCGTTTGCTGGTACCGAGTATCTGATTGGTCAAGGAACTTATCCCGATTTCTGCTTGCTACTCTGGAATTGGAGAACGGGTGAACGATTGACAAAAATAACGGAATGGACGTGACAAAATTTGATATTAATTGCACGAGAATCGCGTAAGTACTATCCATAGAATATATTGATTATTTTGTAAATAAAAAAAAAGAAGTTGATCTTTTAGATTTAAAAAATACTCGTGTTCAATTGTGCACAAACATCGCAGAATAACCAAAGTGTTTCATTTATGTTCTATGAATAGTATTTAAGTAGAATTACTTTGATTATTCCGTGATGTTTAATTAAATTAAATAGAATATAATTAAACGCGAATATTTTTTAAATATAACCGTAAAAGGTAAAATTCTTTTTTTCATTTACAAAACAATCAAACAATATGAAGAATAAAATTATTCGTTCAATTTTCAACAGGTGTTCGACCGACTCCTCCCAGCTGATGACACAATTCGTGACATCCACCGGTATGCTATCGGTGTATCGGGTGTTGGCCTGTTCGAAAACTGTTCGCCTCTTTCCAATCGAAACGTGTTTCGAACGTATTCCAGTCTCTTGTTCCTGGTTTGAGGATGGAAGTTTATTATGCTGTGACGAGTATGGCAACGTTTGGTCCGTCGATTTTGAAGAGGAACGTCGGATTCGAACGGTGGTCCAAGCTTCTTCTTTCGATCACGTTCCTTTAGACAAGAATCCTAACCTAGTTTGTCACGCCGATGGCGTGTTACTCGTATCTACGTCGAATCATCGCATCCAAGCGACGGTATAACACGTATCTTTAAATTAGAAATATATAACGTCTATTCACGGATATATCTATTCACTTCTAACTGTTAGTTTTACAGGAAATCGCGAAAAGATCGAAACGATGAGTGGAAAACAGCTTGGAAGACTTTGTTGCCTTCGTATCCGAGGCACGCGGAAAGTGATCCATCTCACGATAGGATATTGATCCTCGGGGAAAATGGGGATCTCTATGAATTGCTTGACGTATCAAGCGATAATCCTCGACTCGAATTTTTAGTGATACAGAAGAATGTAAAGTACGTTAATATAGTTTCGTTGCAAAAATCGTATTTGGGAACTTTGGATCAAGATGGTCGATTCGCGATTCTCGATGTTAAGACTGGCAATCTTGCCTGTCCGTCTACGCTATTGGCGCATCATGGTAAAGGTGGATGAAAAATAGTTACTTGTTAATTCTTAAAACAGTTACGAGAGCATTCTAACGAGAGCAACTTTTTGTCTCACAGTTGCCGACCTGGCCTCGCATCCTGTTTTACCGATTACGATAAGCTGCAGTGTCGCAGGAAATTGTCTTCTCATCGACTCGTCGACAACAACGCGTAGTCCAAGAATCACCACGTGCGTTCACCTTCAACGGGAAGCCTTGGATCGCATTAAATTTTCCGAAAAAGGCCGTTTATTTGGCGTTGCCTCGTTTCAAATCGGTCGATTGTTCTTTTACAAGTGTGCATCGTCTCGAACGAGTCCAAGAAGCGTGTGAGAGTGACATCTTGGTTACAACTCGGGCGAAAGGCAAGCTATCAATTGTACGAGCTTTGAATCCATCTGACTCACAGACTCTCTTCTTTAGATGATCGATTTTCTGATCCACGAAATGGACGATCGTTCCGCGAAGGTATTGTTTCTCGTTGGAAACGAAAAATCAAACGATCCTCGTGCTGGAAACGAGATTGTCGTGTACTCGTGCCAATTGTTCGATCGAAATCCCTACGTCGAGAACGCAGATCATTCGATCAAGCTTCTCTCTTCCTTCGAACGCCTTCACCATGGAAGAGAATCGAGCCTCGAGATAATCGGAATTCCGTATCTCACTAAACAATTGCATCGGATCGAATTGAAGGTAAAAAACAATCTATTCTGTAGCAGACAGCTTTTAATGTGGTTCCTAATTAAAATAAGAAATAACAATTTATTTCAAAAAACTGTATAAACTATAAGAATCATTGGCCAAAAAATTTATAGGCAAATTTTCAAGATGCGCTTCTCGTAGAAGCTCTACCCTCGCTTCACCAAACCAGAGGGATCGTCATTCATCGCTCAAAATCTCACGATTCTCCAAATCTGATTACCTGCGGCTTCGATGGATTGATCGTGCACAGAGACCGTGACCACTTAAGGCGGGTATTCAACTTGTTCGCCGCGCATCATCGAGCGGAAGGTGGCTGTCGATTCGCCACACTCGTCGACGACGCGATCGTCTCATTGGGAAGGAACGGGGATCTGGTCGCCAACAAGTCACCTTACCGGTTTCGATTTTTTTTCTTTTTTTGTTTCCCTCGACCAATCGATGAGGACATTTAACGACCATGTTCTGTCACGATTAGGATGCTTGGATGTGATGCACGGGATCCGAGGACGACCAGCTACGAAGGGAGAAAAATCGAACGGGTGGACACGATCGAGGTGGAGGAGGATCAGGAGGCAGAGACGTGGATCGAAGAGGCGATTCGCAAACAATTGATGGCCGAGGAGAGAGAAGCTCTGACAACGCGTCTCTCTCTTCTTAAAGATTGGGACGAGTTGAAGAGTCGGGTGAATGTCTATCAACAATAACGCCTTCCAATTTTTTCTCTCTAATCACGATCTCTTGTATCGTCTTTTGATTCTTTCACGCTGATAGATAGATTATGTAGAATGTTGATATAATTTTGGAGAGTCGAGTAAATGTAAAAGAAAAATTGAAGAATTAACCCGCCATGGAATGAAGTAAGAAGATAATGTCTTTATTAATTCAAGATCATTAATTAGAATCATCTTGATATCCTTGAAGAATGTGCAATTAATATAATTAATATAATGGTATGTATAATAATGTACTTGTTTTATCGAATGACAGGTGAAAACGTTGCTCGACAAGAACGAGAAGACGCCACCGAGTACACGTCTTCCGATTTCCGCGTTCGACGTGAACAAGAAGGGTCGAGAACTCGCGCTAGAAGCGGCCAAGACAAAGGAGAGGCAACTGGTCAGAGACGCGGAGGAACGGATCGCGCAATTACAACGCTCGACTCGTTACTTGCGCGAACGATTCCTGGATTCATTAATTTCTCGACCGAGAAGCATTTATTCGTTCTTTTATCGATCGAAGGTCACCAATTATCCACTTATGCAATTAACGCCTCGAGAGGCGGAACTTCGGTCTCCGTGTCGATTCTCGATGGAAACGAGGGAACTGGTATCCAGGTATCTTATCTTAAATCTTAAAAATATATGTTGTATATAATCCTTGAAATTTTCCGTTTCAATATTGGATCATCGTTCTTTCTTTGTTTCTCTCTAATTTTCTTTTTTATTGCTTGTTTAAGAAAAAAATTTAGAAAAGAAAAATTAGAAAAAAAAAAAAGAAGTTTGACTATATCACGATTAGGTTGAAGAAAGAGGAAAATCAACAAACGACGGACACCGAGAATTGTCACGACTTCGTGGACGTTTTCGAAACTTGTATCGTTACGGATAAGTGGGAGCGAGAATTGAAGGAAAAGTTCAACGAACGGTTCGAAAAGACACGATTCACGAAGCAAAGGGAAATGAGAGCGACAACCGAACGCGTGAAAGAAACGAAACGTCTCGTTCTTGAATTGAAAAATGTGTTCAACGTGGACGCGAGTTCGAGCCTCTTCGAAGCTCCGGATTGGCATCGAGAGGAGATATTGGAAGATAGTTTCGATCGAGACGAGGATTCAAACGATTGCGCTCGACCGAATAAACTGGATGAAAATATTGATTGCGAAGAAATATCC